GTTATTCAGAATTAATAATTTTATTTTTTTCCCCTTAAAATTGGCTGGCCTTTGAGGAAAGATGAATAACAGAAACCAGAAAACTCACATCACTCTATATTAACCAAAGCAGAAAATCCATTATATATATATATATATATATATATATATATTTTATATATATATGATTATATATATATATAAAATCCACAAAAAGTCTGATTTTGGATCATATACTAAGAGTTAGGAAAGTGTTTCCTGTGGCACACAAAAAAAAATTTGTCTGCAGTACTTCAAATTTCAAATTTCAGATTTAGGGAAAGGTTTCCTATGACAACTACAAGCCAGCATATCCTGCACTGCTCAACAGGAATAAATAGATGTGGGCAAACCCCAAGGTTTTATCCAGAACAAGCTCAAAGAAGTAATTTGCTTTTAAGTAGGAGTGACCTAAGCCTGTGGGTAAGGAAAGAGCCTCCACTTGTTGCACACTTAATGTACCAGAGAGCTTTTTACATTCTTGTAAATAGAATCACAGCTCAAAAATCAGTGACATCATGATAAGGGTTTCCAAAGAACCAAGAAAACTGCTTGAACTTCTCAGATCCAGGGGCAGCAGCAGCACTGCAATAACTTCCAGTCTGCAAGGTCAGACTGAGGCCACTGGTGCTATTGTGCCATGGGCAGACAGAAGAGAAATGCAAAAGTGAGACTGTGCAGGGGAAACTAAAGCAGGGCCTGAAACAGCTGAACACACAGACAGTGAGCACAGGAGGGTGAACTGAGCAAAGACCAAAGCACTGAGGAATAGCAAAGAACAACAGAAAGCTCTTGCCTTGGCATGGACACAAACAGATCAAGGGCCTGGTGAGAGACCCATACCAGAGTGTACCCTGCTGATCTATCAACACCCATCAGGATGAGCCTGAACCATTTCTGTCCATATGTGAAAGAAATATCTCTCAGGGAAAAGTGCTGGGACTGCTGGATCTGACCAACGTCATGGCTTTGTACAGCTCATCCTGGTTATTTCAGCCCTACTGTGACTAAGAACATGGGGCCCTGGGACTCTGCCCCCCTGCATCAAAACACTTTTGGTTTTTACATCCTCCAAAGGGCAAACCATGTAAAAACAAACCCAAAACAACAAGAACAACAATAAGAAAACCCCAACAAAACAAACAAACAACCCCCCCCCCGGCCCCAAAAAAAACCCAACAAACCCAACCCAAAGCCACCACTAAAGCAAGGGAAAACCTTACATTAGAAATAAAGAGATCCCATTCTATTTCCCCAAGATAAACTAAATATTTTCATGTGTGTAAACAGAAAACAAGACTGAAAAAAGAATGCTGTGCTCCAAGTCAGAGCCCCAGTGCAGACAGATGGCCACATATGTACGTCACAGACATGAGTTCATCCAGTTTTGGGAATCCTGGCAGCCCTCAGGCCAACCTCTCAGGGACTGTGTCATTGCAGCAGTAAAACGTGTTGAACATTATCTCATCAGAACATCCAATACAGTGATCTATAGAAAGGATGTTTAGTCCTGCCCATGGAAGGAGTGTAAACATGCCTGCAGCTCACAATTACTGTTGATCTATGAGTCACAAAAGCCCCAGTGCTTCAGTTGTTCAGCATGAAAATCAGATTTTTGGACACACACAGAGATTTCTGGCAGCACCTTATGTAGGAGGGAGTATGTCAGATAATTTTACAGGTTATTTCCCCCCCTTTTGCACTGCATGAGCAAAAGGAAATGTGAACTCATTGCTTTTTTTTCAGCCTACAGCAGCCAGAGGATCACCTACTAATTTCTAATTAGTTCTGTTTAAGTAAATCACCTCAAGGCAATTCCAACAGTTTTTAAGTATAATTATGTCACAACTTACCCTCCAGTACAATTAGTGGTGACTTAAGACCATGGGGTAAACCACAGCTTGATTGGCTGAATGACACCTGGAGCTCACAAGTGAAAAATACAATTTCTTACAAATTGAGTAGAGGTCACTTTAGAAAATGACAGAACCTCACAATATGTTGTAGAGTCTTGTCAACAGAGAATTACTCTTTTAAATACAAAGATTTACAAGATTTTCTCTAATGTTACAGAAACAGAACATTTAGAGGAATTATTCTTACCCTCTCGACAAATAATTCATGCTTAAAAATGAAAATTTAAATATATGTACATTTATGAACCCTTCATTAATCTAACCATACTGTTCACCTTCCTTTCTTTCTGCTTTCCTAGAAGCAGCTTCACTTTCTTTTTGTTTCTAGGCAGTATCTAATCCCTTTTTTCCATGCACTCTATGATGAATCTCATACACGATGGTAAGTTGTGATGTGCACAGAATTACTTATTCAAAACAGCTTTGTTAAGAGTTCTTTAACAAAATCTGAGGTTAAATTTTTCCCACATGGGTTTAATCACATCTATCCTGTTACACCCTACTAAGAAAGAGTTAAAGTGAACTTCACCTTATATATCATGTTGAAACCAGTACAGTATGGAAAATAAACTTTCTTTTCTTTATATTAAGTCGTGCAGAGCATACCTGCTATTCACACAGTACTTAATAAGCCCTCAGGATTGTGCAACCCCAAAAAGAACAAGTGTGCCACAGCACAAAGCTTATCAACAAACTGGGTAAGAGTGCAGGAGAGGCAATCCAGGAAAAGCCAGGTGCTAGAAGCACAGCAAGATGTGACTCATTCTTTGGCAGCAGCTCCTTTGACTGAATTCCCAGGAATTCCTCTGTATTTCAGAAGTGACAAAAGGAAACAGTCATCTCAGGGCATTCCCAAGGACACGAGGGATCGTTTCTTACTCAGCACTTACGCAGGTCAAATTTCCCTGGAGTCACTGGTGTTTTCCTGGGGGAATGCTGCCTTCATACAAGGCACCAGTAATTCCAAATTTTTAGTAATGATCTACTTTAACATACTAACACAATACTACAAATGTAACTGTATTATAAAGGATTCTATTTTGCAGCTAACTGAATTCTCTGATGCTTTGCCTCAGCTGCAAACATGGCATGGCTGAGTTTCCTTGTAGTTTGCTAATTAATTGGCAGGAAACCAAACATTTCTCCAGTACCAGGGCTTCATCAAACGTTTCTACAAATCTTAGACAAAAATATTTTGACAGTCAGCAAAAGCAATTTTGCTCCAAATTCTTCAGTTAGCTCTGACTGTAACACAATAATGAAAATGTAACATGAAGTTTTATGTGTTTTTTTCACTTTTCTTTATCATGTATATGAAAATAACAAAGCATAGGTATTTTAAAGCAGGAACTTTACTTTCTTCACACCAAAATCAATGTCTTAAGGGTGTAGAATATAACTTTATACAAGTAAAATATAAAAAATTATATTCCCTCAACTTCTACACATTTTTCATTGTCCTAAATCATTCGATATTTACAGCATTAGATGAAAGAGCAAATATGCCAGGGACCTGTCACACATACAAGTGCTTTACCCTTTTCTGTCACACAAGGTCTTCTGTGAAATAAACTTCTATAAAATTCAGTTATATTTTTAGAAGCAGATTAGCTAACAGACAGTTTTGAATTTATTACTCCTAATTCTTACTAGAATAATTAAGGTGGCAAAGTAATGACTTTCCACCTCAAAGAGCTAGACTGAATCACAGGGTAATTCATGTTAAGAGGAACCTCAGGAGGTCTTTAGCCATCACCAGGGTGACTGACAGTCTCAACTTCGAAGTTCACCATCTTTTCCTTTCATCATGTTCCCATTCCTGTAAATTATTCACTGGTGTCTTTTTATCCTGAGACCTGCTAACACAGGAGGCCGCTCTCTATCACTTTGTCTAAAGTCTCCTCTTTTTGCTGCCTCCACCAGCAGCATGTGGTGATTTTCACTTGCTGTATTTTAGGCACTTAGGTCAGACACATCTCCCGTGGCTTGTGCACACATGGAGCTTTGTGTTGTACACGTTATGATGCACATGCATACTCATACACACAATAAATACTATTGCCAGTAATAACCAAATGTAACCTGGGACTCATTTTTGTACTGGTTTAAGGCTCTTTCCTCCCACTTAGTTCCATCAGAATAGCAACATGGACATAACTAAACCAATCCAAAATATGCCTTCTTTCAGTCCAGCTGTACCATACCCTATGAGAAATACACCAGTGTTACTCCCTGACAGTGATATTGATTAACAAGTTCTGTCTCTATGCTGCCAATAAAAAAGTTCTCCGCCATACGGCAGCCAGTGGGCAGCAGTTTATTCAGTGTCAAGCAGCTGCTTTTGCTCTCGTTAACTCACCCTGAGAGTATAAACACTGGCTGGTGATATAGATTTAGATGACCGAAGATTTTGGCGTGTTCGAGGTCTTCGCTTAGGAAGTTCCTCTTCCACACCTGCCCAAGTCCAGGGATTGCGAGGGGGACGGGCTGCTCTGCCCCGGTGCGGAGCCATCCCCTCACACACCGCTGCAGACACAACGACCACAGAGAGGATTCCTGGGCCTTTCTTCTCCTGCTGCCCCGGGGCCGGCGGAGCGGGGAGAGCCGAGAGCCCGGGGGTCGCCGCCAGCGGGGAAAGTCCCGCTCGGAGCCGGGAATTCCCACAGCGGCGCCGGGAGGACGCGGCGCTCCGGGCCTTTCGCAACGCGGAGCCAGCGCCGCCCGCCAGCCCCGAGAGACCCTCGGTGCGCCGGGAGCCCCGCTCCCCCCAGCGCCCCTCCCGCAGCCTCCTGCCCGCGTTCCCCCCCCCCGCCGGGACTTCCCCCGTTCCACCGAGCCTCCCGCTCGCCCCCTGCCTCGCCCCCGGGTTTCTCCCCCCACCCCCGGTGCCGGTTCTCCCTCTCGGCCCTGCCGGGGTTCCCCGGGCAGCGCTGCCCCGGGGGCCGCATCCCGCGCGGGCCGCGGGGGAAAGAGCGCTCGGCACGGCCGGGGTTCTCCCCCGAGGGCGGAGCTCGGCCCGGCCCGGCCCGGCCCTACCCACAGAAAAAAGCGGCGGCACAGGCGGGTCCTGCGAGCCCTTAAAGGGAGCTGCTGCCTCCTCCCCCGGCGGGGAAGGCGGAAGAGCGAAGCTGCTGTCTTGGTTCTGCTGCGCTGCCGAGTTTTATGCACCTGTCTGGGCTCCTGCTCGCCCTGGAGAAGGAACAGAAGGGAGCTACCCCGGCCATGTGCTCGGTAAGCGAGGCCGGCAGCACAGACCCCCTGGTGACCCGTTTCAGGCAGGTGGAGGAGACGCTGGAGAAGCTGCACCGGGAGAACAGGAGCTTGAAGAATAAAGTGCCTCGGTACAACGCGCTCTGCACCTTGTACCACGAGTCCGCGCAGCAGCTGAAGCACCTCCAGCTGCAGCTGGCGGCCAAGGAGGCGACGATCCGGGAGCTGCGGGGCAGCCTGGCCCGGCAGCGGCAGCCTGGCCCGGCGGCGGGCGGGGATGCGGCGGCGGGCGCGGAGCCGGCCCGCTCGCTGGTGGAGAGCCTGCTGGAGCAGCTGGAGCAGGCCCGCGACAGCGAGCGGCTCTCGGCGCGGAGAGCGGAGACGCTGAGCCAGGTACAGCCGCGGGCGCGCAGGGAGCGCAGCGTCAGCAGCTCCTTGCCTTCCCTCGGGAGCGGTGCAGCATCAGCAGCGCCTTTCCCTCCCTCGGGAGCGCGATGCGGGCGGAGAGTGCGGGCGTTCTGCCCCCGCAGCGCTCCTGGTGCGGCGCTGGCAGCGAGGGCTGGAGCCCCTTCGAGCGATGCCCGCTCCATCGCCGGGTGCCCGAAGCAACTCGCCCGTTTGTGTCCAAAGGTGGCGCCCCCTGCGTTCACTTCAAAAGGCAAACGATAAAATCCTAAACCAAAAACTTAGCAGGGCACTATAGATCTTCATGCAACTGTTTTCATAAGGAGAATGAAAATTAGTAAAAACCTCCCTGAATTTATTAGATAATCAGCTGATGCCACGAATTTTTCTATTACACTGTTTTGTTTGAAGTGCTCTTAAAAATGGATTTTTGTATTGACAGTGAGGTAGGACGTTCATATTTGAAGAAGTAACTGAGAAGTCGGGAGAGATAGATTAGGGAAATCAGTATCTTTCTTGAAAGAAAAAAACCTGAAAACTGCATCCCTCCCCATCCAGCACAAGTGCTGTTTTGGTTATTGTCATTAAGAGTTTCCCAGGTTCAGTCTGAAATTCTCAAAGATTTTTACAGCATTTATTTCTAGATGAAGCTGCATGAAGTAATTTCCAAACTGAGCAGCAGTAGTTAAAACTGAAACAACTGTTTTTGTCATAAGTAATCTCTTGACCTAATGCTTATACAAAACATTTTCCATATATGACACTCACCTAAAATACATATTAAAAAGTTAATGTTTGGAAATTTGTTATAAGAGATGATCTCACTGACACTTTGCAGACAGATGACAAACCTATGGTATCTGAACATATTTGAAAGGCTGGTGCTGAATATCTTTAAAGGGGAAGTTTAGCATTCATCATGAAGCTAAAGAATGTAAATGTCAGTAATAAGAACAAGTGCTGTTTATCTATGTCAGATGTTAATGTTTATTTCTTGAAAGAATACAATGCTAGGCCCAGTCAGATCACTGAAATAATTGGCACTAAATAATAACCAAATAAAAAGGACACTTTTGTGAAGCCAGAGGCCAGTGTTCTGGCAAAGAGTGTTCCCAGTGATTTACAGCTCTATTAGCACTCCTGAGAACTGGAGTGGTAGAGCTGGGATAGGAGCTGTCTATTGGTCTGCACTGGCATCCAGAGATCCTTGATTCTGGAGGAGCAGTGCTGCAGACGTTTCTAGTGCCTGCATCTTGAGGGTGTGTAAAAACCACCCTGTTTGTTTACAAAGCCAGAACCAGTGCCTTTCAGTGCATGGAACTACAGGTAGTTTGCAAACCTCTTCCTTCCCAAAACACCTGCAGAGACGTGACTGCAGTGTGGATGATCCCACAGAGCTCCCAACAGGACAAGGAGATGCAGAAACAAGTACACAGTTGTTTTCTAGGGGTGTGTCAGACCCCCCTTGTGTATCTGGGAGTCAGCTGTGCCCAAACTAGAGCCACTGCTGCCACATGGATTTTATTTTCTGCTTGTTTATCCTTACCTTACCATTCCCATCCTTTCCTAGGTGGGAAAGTTGCTCTGTTTTGTCCTTGTGACAGTACCAGGCAGTGAATACACCTCACTGGATTTGATGACTTAACAGTTCCTTCTTTCTTTTGAGGAAAATCTCTATTATATGGTAGTTTAGTGTATGAGACCTGTAAGTATTTTTCAGTCTCCACAGTTATTAATCTTAAATTAGTTTGTTTCTTGTTTTTGTTGCTGCTGTATAGTCATAAAATCTTCCTGAGTTTTTGCTGCTTGTTCCTTCATTCTACTGATTAGAAAGTGTTTGCATGGCTGCCTGAGCAGTTCTTGATTGATTGATCCAAAAGTTCCAAGGTCTTGTGAACATACAGAAATGAAATGGATTTGATCTACTTTTTAAGTACTTTGCAATGAGTGCAGGAGCAATAAGGAATTACTGCAATATTGAAGTCTAAGATGTATTTTGGCTTTTGACTTTATTTTGCTTTTAAGTAACTTCCCCTCCCCCCTCTGTTTAGGAAGTGCAGAAGTTGAATCAGCAGCTAGAGGAGAAAAATGGAGAGATACAGCAGATGATAAATCAGCCTCCATATGAAAAGGAGAGAGAAATCTTACGACTGCAGAAGACTCTGGCAGAGAGGGAGAAGGCTCAGGCCACCAGTGATGTTTTGTGCCGTTCACTCACTGATGAAACTCACCAGCTTCAACGCAAATTAGCGTCCACAGCAGAAATGTGCCAACATCTGGCAAAATGTCTAGAAGAGAAGCAAAGAAAAGAGAAGGGGAATTCAGATGACCAGATACCTACAGAAAGATCTAATCAGGTATTCTTAACAGCTACTGTGTGGGTCTTTGAAGTCTTATTAGCTTCCGAGATGTTAATTACAGTATGATAGCTGTAACAGGGGAATGGTGAGAACGGCCCTTTAAATAATTTCATGTAGGGTGTTAAGAGTGCCATGTCAATGGTAAATAATTCCGTGTATCTGAAATTCAGGATAGAAGCAGTTGTCTACCATTTCACTATTGCCCATCTCATCATCAGAGGCATTTTTTGGAGAGGAGAAGAATTTGAGAGGTTTTGTCCAACCTCAGCAATTCCATGATCACAGTTCTTCCCTCAATACACAGGAGACAGTACCTACCTTATACCACTCCTGCTTCTGTGCAGCACTAGATGGTGCTGTGATTTTGAAGCTTATCTCTCCTGATTGCTTGTTTAAGTATCAAAATCACAGAAAAAAGTAGAGATATTTCAAAGTAGTTTTTATATTAAGAACTCTGTAACATGTGGTCTTCTCGGATCAGGATTTGGCTTTGCACACGCAGTATAGCCCTAAAGAAAGTTGGTTAGTGGAATATGAGTCAAGGTGTCCTACCTTTTTTTTTTGCTCTGGGATTCCCCCTGGCCTCTGAGTGCAGGGCAATGCTTCTCTTCATGTTTAAAAAAAAATGGAATGTTTTAAAAAAAAGCTTCATAACAGGACAGTGTCAGAAGTGCTACTGCAGGGCACAAAGAAACACCTGGATTTTGGTATACTTTGCTAATGGCTGTTGAGGCTTCAGTAAAAGTTCTCAGTGTGGGGTAAGGGTAGATCATTGTTCTGTTGTTGCAGAAGTCCTGACGGCTGAGAGTCATTTATTAAACATTCATTAAAATGAGGTAATTCATTAAAAAACCATAAGGAAATAATAGCAATGCTGCCTCTAGTAACAGTTCAGAGCAGTGAGTAGGGTGCTACAGACAGTTCTCACAAAAATGAATAATTCTGACTTAGGCTGTTAGTGCTACACTGTGGTAATGCTGTTTTCCACATGAGCACTCATCTGTGCTGTTGTGATGAACTCTATACATACTCATGTCTGCTTTGTCAAACATCCCAGAAGTGCTTCCAAAGAAAACTTACATTAAAGTTACCTGTAAGAAATAGGGGTTGAGTAGGTAGAAGAAAAAATGACTTTTTAAGGGACTTGAAGCATTTGGCTTTATCATATTTAACATGTAATTGATAGACAGGAAGCTTGATTGACTTTGATATATGCAATAAAAGCTAACCTTGTACAGTGGGGACTTCCCTGTTGAAGAGGAGAAATTTCAGATGCCATTACTAGCTGATTCTAGGGAATTTTACACAAAAGTGTTCTATATTACTCACGTACACCGGGGTTTTTTTAAGCAGATGTCACAACTGTAAAAAAGAGGTATCATTTTAGTCAATTATTTAGCAAGCAGGGTTTTTTCCCCTCAGTAATTTCTTCCTAGTACTGCCCAAAATTGACAGTAATAACAAAGCAAGATGAAGGCATATCTGTGCCTTTGTCATGTGTTCTCCTACTCCAGATAAGTAGTTTTCTGTAAACTCTTAAACACTGTTGTCATGAGGTGTATTTAATAGCAGTACCAAGGTCATAAAAACCTAGATGTATGTCATTACATATCCCATAAAAAAAAAAGATTACTTCCAGTTAACAGCACAGCCAAACAGCATCTGAGATTTTTATGTTAAAGTAACACCTAACTTTATCTGAAAATTACAGCTTTTAGACAATGAAACTTCACTTCAGTCTCTAATCTGCAACTTACAAGAGGAAAACAGGATGTTAAAACAAAAAGTAGCTCACGTGAGTACTTTCATTTTGTTATAGATTAATATTTGCTAAGTATTTTGTATTAGAGTAAATTTGGAATAGATAAATCTGGTTAATCTAATTACATGGCAATAACAAAGCAAGACAGCTTTTCTTAGTCCTTTCAACATGGCACATAGTTTTGGTTCCCTTAGTTAAGAATAACTTATTACATAATTTCTAACACACTGGATTTTTATTGTTAAAAAATACAGTGCAGAGCAGAAGAAAATTTTCATGTTCCTTCTGTGGATCAGTATTCCATCCCAGAAGAACAGCACTAGGCCCACTAGACCCTTCCCTTTCCACATTATTTAATATTGTCCCTTTGGAGTGGGAGATGGGAAGGCTGGGAGATTGTGAAGAGTCTGCACAATCATCTCCTGCTCTCCTGTACAGTGACTTACCCTCAGGGGTGGAGTCAGCATGTTGCATTATCCCCTAGAAGATTTTGGTCCTGCAATTCTAGACAGCCTATGAAAGCCTGGAAATTTGTGTCTCCCTATTCTTCATGTCCTGGATGAACTTTCAGGTGGAAGATTTAAATGCAAAATGGCAGAAGTACGACGCGAGCAGGGACGAGTACGTGAAGCGACTGCACCTGCAGCTGAAGGAGATGAAGTCCCAGCTGGAGCAGCACCACGGAGGAGCTCCAGCACAGAGGAATTCTGACCTGATGCACAAGGAGATCTTCCGGTTAAACAAACTACTGGAAGAGAAAATGAATGAGTGCATAAAAACCAAGAGAGAGCTGGAAGACATGAAGAAGGCTTGTGAAGGAGATCATGAGCGAATACAAATGCTGGAGCAACAGGTCATTGTGTTTCTTTTTCCTACACATGGGAATTCTTAGTTTCTTCCCAGACCACTAAAGTCCAAGGGGTAAAAGGGATTTTTTTTTTACATTTGCGTGTCTGTGCACATTTGGCTATACAGATACTTAACACCACAGATTTAAAGGAAACTCACTACTTAAAGAACTCCATGCAGTTCTGCTGGCCTCAACACAGAATATGAAAGATCTGTAAAAGAAATACAAATACCTTTGAAATGCACATACAATAGAGAATACTGATATTCTGGGAATAAGTAATAAAGGAATCAGTCTCAGCTTTCCAATCTAACCTGCCAATGCTCTAATGTGTAAAATATTAAAATAAAAATTCTATTTCAGGTCCTGGTTTATAAAGACGATTTCACATCTGAGAGATCAGACAGAGAACGAGCGCAGAGTAAAATACAAGAACTTCAGGCAGAAGTTGCATGTCTGCAACACCAGCTAGCAAGAAGACAGGTAAGTAAAGCAGCATGCTGCTTCTTTAGTTGAAGCATGCCAACAGAATTTGGGACTAAAATATACTTCTAAATATATTTAAAAAATATCTTAGTATTTCTAAAACAGTTTCAGCAGCTATCAAAAACTTTGATTGTTTCATAGTCAGTTCTGGTGGAGATGCTTCCCAGTTCAGATGTAATACCCCTTTTCCAGTCCCTTTTTTCTTCTGCTTTTGGATTAACATTGGAAAGGGGAATTCTTAGAAGGTACAGGACAGCCATGACTCTTGGCATCTTTAAATTAGCACACTGGTTGTATTCTGTGTTTTCTACAAACCTTCTTTACAACAATATTAATACCTCTGCAAAAACTGATTAATAATTTATTTACAAGTCCTCAGATAAATATTTGAGTGGTGTTTCAGATCAAGGTGATAAAATATCACCCGTTAAAAAAAGTATTTTTCTTGCATCTTTTTCAAGAGCTCTTTTTTTGTCTTTCTAGGACTCCAGAGACACAAGCAGTCATTTCAGAGTTCACGCTGGTAACCAAAATCATTTGTTTGTTCAGACAAATGTGGAACACCTACGAGGCAACAGCCCAGGCCAGACAGGGAAGAGAAGAACAAACTCACAGTCTGAACAAGCTTCTCCTCCTGGGGACAATGGAAACTTGGGATCTGAAGGCAGGGCACAGGGTGAACTCAGATGCCCTCACTGCATGAGGTTTTTCAGTGATGAACTTGGTGATGAATTCCTCAAGCACGTTGCTGAATGTTGTCAGTGACCACAGGATGTGAGGGGTGTAAGTCAATCAATCACTACTTTTATAGATGTAAAAGTTGCTCTATACATGTATCTCCTACAGTCCTAAAACAGAGTAATTCAAATGGAGAGCTCTGGGGAATTAGGAGGATGAACAATATCTACCTCTTACTTGATTTTGCCTTCTCTTGGACTGTGTGAAAGGCTTCAAGAGAAAGCAAAGTGTTTTTCTGAAGAACTATTTTTGACAGCTACAAGGAAAGCAAGTATAATGGAGATTCTACTACAGACTAAACTGAAACCTACAGTGGTAGTTTAGCTTCAGAGTGCAGCTTGACTTTATTTGGGTCTAATTCTCTACCACATCTGATGGCTTGTGAGAAAAATTACTGAACTTGAAATTTTCCTCCTCTTCCAAAAAATGTAGGCTGAAGAACAGGAAGGAATATTTTGGCAGAGGATAGGAAAAATCTTACTGTGCTTTATCTGGATTAAAAGCGAAAGTATGTTCTTGACTCTTGAGGCTGAACTTCCAAACATCTCATCTGAAAATCCTTCTGTTTAACTGAAATCAGAAGAAGTGAAGAAAACATAAAAGGGCTGGTTATTGACTAAAACTAGCCTGTCTTTTTTGCACAGAAACAAGGTACAGGGATATTTATATTGTCTGTGCCATAAATATCTGTCTTACAGATTTGTGAATGGATATTTGTGTAATTATTGTCTGTATTCCTATTTGACCTAAGGATTATTTTTATAATAAAAGTGATTCTGCATTTGCTTTACTACAAAAGGGGTCCAAAAATCTCTTTTGGCATAAGTATTTAAATGTGAAATAGTGAACTATAATAAGGGCTAATTAAATGTCATGGTTTCAGGTATGAGTTATTTCATTACTTTAGTGATAACCAGCTTCTCAGACTATTTTCAAATATGTTGAAAAAAAAATCACTCCTCATCTCTGAGCGAAAGATTGACATTTCAGAGGTACAGGAACACATTTAACCCCCTTCCCTGCCACACACATGTGACTATGCCAATGCTAACTTAAAATTTCTTCTTATCCTGTCTGCACTTGAGAGAGCTTCAACAAATAGCAGGGGACTGTTTTGCGAAGGAGTATCAGCAATTAATTAAAGTGTACAAATATAAGAGTGCGACAGGTTTTTGCAGCTTAGCTCCAGGTGAAGCTGAAATTGTTTTCTCACTGTGTCAGAGCAAGAGTTAAGGATGGGACAGAAAGTAAAGGCCTAGTGCAACCATGGCACTGCATAATTAAAGAAAACTCACTTTGTGTAACAACTTTTGTCTTCTGCTTTGCTTCGGTCCACATTCCACATTTGAAAAGGAATGTGGATTTTTTTCTGGCTATTTCCTTTTTGGGATCCTGTTGCAGCCCCAAAGGAAAATGATGGTTTATGCCACTCTTATCTTATGTGGGATATTACCAAAAGCAATGCCTGGGGCCTTGCATGCAGCAATGGTTACTTTTAATCAAATCTACAGCTGACTCCAATCCTGTCATTCACTTCCAGCTTGTTCTTCCCAACACAACATGCACAAACATGCAGAAAGTTTTGGATTTTTTAGTGACCATTTTTTACATTGCCTTTTAAGGTCTTAGAGATCAGATGCAGCCCAGAGAATATAAGCTGAGAAACATGATTAAACTTCCTGTGGCATAAGCTAATCTTACTTTTTTGACAGTTCTCATTAAACAAGCCTGGTTTACAGCTTCAGTGTTTATCAGTATGATAATGCCAGTGATTGATACAGCAAAAGAGGGACTTGAGTTTTGTACTGATTCACACTAGAACACACTTAAGAAAACAAACAGAACAGAAAAGTAAGTCAGGTCTTGGCAGAACCTTTTTTTAATTGCCTTGAGATGATGACTGCTTTAATAAGTATCCGAGGGAGAAATCTGCTATAGGTTTCCATTTATGTTAATCCCTGTGGGTATACTTGGATAGACTGACCTACAATAAGAAATGATAATTTCTAATAAGAAATAGATGCAGGAATTAGATAGGAGAAATGTGCACTACACAAAAAATTAATAGTGCCTACTCTTGTGGATTTAAATTCTGTGAATTAGTCCCTAGTCAAAGCAGAGGTTAGTTTCACATTAATCCTGGGAAAGGAGAGTACTGCAGAGCTGGAAAACTTGGATATACCTCCAGCAAAGACAACACTGGACCAACAACAAACCAAACCAGGTAAAGTTACAGATCAGGCACAGATTACAGCTACCACATACAATAATAAGAGCAATAAATGAGGACTGGCATTTGACTACCTGTGACATAAATCTAGGACAGATCTGCTGGTTTTCTGTATAAAAATGTTTCTCCTCAGAGCTGTTTGACTTTACCTCTACTGAGGTTTTTGGTTCCCCCCCCCCCTCCACCAAGCTGGTAAAAAGCATGACTGTTTCTTGTTCTGGCTTAACCAAGAAATGTTACACTATAAAGAACTGCCACTGTCTTACATGCAAATATTTGCTTCAGATTGTGGGCCATAAACTATTGCTCCTAAGAAAAGTTGTCTGTTATGCAGTGCTTGGACTTTTACACCAAATTCGCTGGTAGGTCTCTTGATAAAACACTACAAAGTCTTTACCTGCCCCCTCCTCGCCAAGCAAAGCATACACACCAAGGCATCCCCAGCAACTGCCACCAGCCCCTACCTTCACTAGCCACATTTCTCAGCTTGCAGACAAGAATGCATAAAACCTGTCAGCTCCACTCTCCCAACACTCAAGTGAAAGTGGCTGTGAATTTCCAGCACTTTTGAACTCTTTAAATTAAGAAAAGCTCCTTCTGGCCTCACATCACACTGGTGTTCTTTTCTTGTTGGATGGTTGTCCAAACAGAGTGTCTTGCTTGGTTGAATAGCAACAAGAACCCAGTCCCTTTCCTAAAAGAAAGCAATAAAGGCATAATGAGTAAGAAAGTAACTGCATGCAGTGAAAGGAGCTTCAGTAGCATAAACTTTGTGAACTTTCATTATCCATTTGTACTACACTTGTTCAATGAAACACATCATCTGTTCAACTGCAGAAAGACATCCTCACACAAGAGACTCTTGAAATCATACAGAAAAACTGTCTGACTGTATGGATGGGGCTCAGTTCCTCATTAGCTGTGTTGGTAATAAAGGCACCCAAGAGAAGTGAACCCTGTTTTCAGGCAAAGTTAATGCCTGTTTAGGCTTCTGTAGATCTCTCATTCAGAGCCCTGCCTGTAGTGCAGCGGCATGCCAATACCAGACAGAAGGCAGACAGAGACACTGCAGTTCCACAGAGGCTGAGAGCAGGCAGGATAACTGCCTATTCTGGGACTTGGAGGAATGTGTCTTAACATACTAAAAGCTGCCAAGAGGGATTTGTCCAATTACCTTCATGATTAGTCTCTTAAAATTTCTCCTCCACCAAATCACCGTTCCTCAGTTTTGCTCTCCAAACCAACCTGAGTCCAGAGCCAGGGCTACTCAGCTCCTGAGGATCTGTCTCACCTCACCAGCAATGAGATTCCCAGACTGTACAATCTCCAGCTGCTGGCAAGCCTGTTCTCATTTCTCCTGGACCTGATTACAATGCACTTTGCTCGGGATTTTGGAGGAAAGCTGTTTTCTAATAACCCTGCTGGTTGCCATGCAGAAGTGGGCCCTTAGCACACAATCACGACAGCAGCTGTAGGCAACACTGACTCACTGCATCTTAGAAAATACAAATGCAAGAAGCCTCAGAAGCTGGTCCCTACCCCAAAAGCCCCAAGGGAGAAAAGATAACAATAATGCTCTTTCTTGTAGCATGGGCAGGACAGAGCTAAAAGGTTTCTCAAATGACGTGCAACTTCTAAGTCCATGTCTGCTTCAGGCTCCAGTGATTTAGGATGTCACATCTTTTAAAATAAACCTTAAATGATGCCTCAAGGTAAGTGCTCACTAATAGTAAAACCAACTACAAGAATAAAATTTGTTCAAGAAGCAGATACCTATGCTCTATGCTCTTTTTTTTAAAACTTCCATTTCCTGTGGCTTTGCTGCATGTGTATATATAGAAAGCAAGGGAAATTCCAAACAAGATGCCACACCATTATACTCAGAACAGCAGTGCTTCTCATTCTAAAAAAGGGAAGTCTCAAATGCTTTTTCTACAAAATCTATGTGAATTCAAAGTATGCTGTAGTAATATTTCACAGTACCATGCCCCACTAGCTATCAGCTGGGACACAGATGGTGTCAGCTAGAAACCTAAAGTGTAAGAAAGGCTTATGAGGCACTAGGTCAGCCCAGCAGGACCTCAGCAGAGCAATGGGATATAAGGCTAAGCACTCCTGCCTTCTTACCTGATGCCTTAAATTCTTCTCTGAGGGCAGAACACAGCCCAGCACCTCCCTGAAGCAGCCTGTCCTGGGGGTCAGGGCTCCAGCAAGGTCAGCTGGGGATTTACAGTGTGCTGCAGGAACTGCTTACACACGAGCTCCTGGAGGCACCAACCACCCCAAGTGGCACAGCACTTGTGTCTCCACTCCACTGCTGCTCAGTGTGTTTGTTATTCCCCTTTTTCATTAGTCCACTTTTCACCCCTCCTTTTACACTTGCTGGTAAGAGGCTGCTGGTGCAGGAACAATCCACAACATGTGAAGGGTGTATGGTGTCAACAGGGGCCAACAGCCTCCCTCAGGAACCTGAGATCTTCCCATGGCACATGGGGCTCTGGTATGGAGAACACGGAATCAGATGGGGCATTAAGAGATAGCTGATTTTGAATGGGTGTTTTTGGTGCCTTCTAGAAGTGTGTACTTCACCACACTGATTTCCTCACCAGCCTTCCCCAGACCAACCCTCCAGCACATCTTCTGGAGACCTGGCTGATGGCTGGGCTGAGCAGGGCACCTGGCTGCTAGTGCTGACCCCCACCTCCTCAGGGTCACAGGAACTCTCCTTGCCTGAGGCTTTCACTCTCTCACTTCTGAAGGAGTGGGAGGGAAGAAAGAGCAGTGGGACCCTCCTCCCCCATCCTGCACTCATCAAATCTGTCTTCATATAAAAAGGATTTTAATTTGTGGGGTTTTTTTTAATTCATAGGCAGATACCTTGGCTACACACAAGTATCACAGGCCCTTTATACAGGAGGGGCAAAGGCAACCTGGAGCGTGCCCCACCAGCTCTTTGGCCAGCACTGGAACACCCCATGCCTTGCTCAGCTTCTTGGTTCCTGCTGCAGGCCAGGCTTCCTTCAGCCACGTCCCAAAATTCCCCTGCACAGCCCAGAAGGGCACATCTGAAGGGAACAGCGAGTTCCTCAGTTCCACAGCAGCCTGGACTTGGGTGATACCCAGTTACCTCCTCTGCTGAGACAAGATCCTACACTAAGGGAACAGGGCTTTGATGGCACCAAGGGCAAGGTGAGCTGTCATCTCCTCCAGCTGTGCCCCCACAGCCCTCCCTGGTCTGTGCCAGCTGCAATTTCAACCAGCCAGCCACCTGCAGCCACCAGCTGGGCCTGGGCTGGGAGGAGAGCCACAGGCACACAGACCAGCTCTGGGAACAGCTCCAGAGCTGCGGGGGCTGGTCCTGCTCACAAAACCCTGTTTGTTTCCTGCCCAGTGCAGGAAGGAGATCTCAGACCTTGCTACAAGGGCAGGGGCTCCATCTCTTGTAGGACTCACAGGTGGGGAGATGAGAGATGCTCAGATCTTGGACCAATTGAGCCCAGCTCATAAAACAGAAAATGAGCAAAGAAAGGAGCTCAGACACCCACAGAAGAGTCAGCCCTCATTCTATCAGTACCACATCTCAGGGAAATTCAGACCTACAGGAAGGACTGTAAAGGTCCACAGACACTGCAGGAAAAAACATCACCTACCAAGAGAAAGTGGGGCCTGGTGGGATGTGAAGCAGCTCACACACAGAGCTGAGCACAGTCCAACAGAGCATGCTACTCCTCTTTCCCACCACCTGGGCTTGCCCTCAGTGATGCAGATCTAATTTAGTGATTTTCAGCTCCTCTTCTGACCTCAGCACTGAGCTCCACCTTCTGCAAGGCCTTCCACCTCCCCAGGTGGAAGGACAGAGTTTGTGTCACTCCCAGGGACAGCAGGCAGATGGGAAGCAGACACCTCTGGAGGAAAAAGGCCCTTCTTTTGATCCTGGCTGCTGTCACAAGGGGTGTTTCTATCCTCCAGTCTCTCCTTATTGAGCAGTCCACTTACCCATTATCAGAACCTCCTTTTGCCCTATTCCAATCCCAGTCAAACACAAAAATGGCTCTTGGGGAGTCACCATGAGTTCAATGTCACCCAGAGCCTGTGACATTGGCCAGCCCAGCTGAGTGCCTCTAAGCACCAAGCTTGGTCCCAAAAGCACCAAGCAATTGCCCTTCAGGCTTCTTCAAGTACCTCTTCTATTAAAGTGATGAGTGGTCACTCAAAGGCATTTCAGCTTCAGCAGTAACATCATCACTTTCCCCTGTGGCACTTTCTCAGGGCCAGTCCTCTTGCAAAAGAGAAAATAAACAGAAAAGAAAATATCTTCCAAAATACCAGGGCACAGGTGTAGCCTGGTGCTCTCTTGGCCCAAGGGGGAGAGGTCTCTGATGGCCCAGGAGGTTTCTGCCATGTGCAAGCCAGGAATGGAGAGGAGGGCTCTGGAGCACTTGCCACTGAGCAGAGAGGATCTGGAAAGGGGAATAAGGTATAATTTGTTTTAAAGAAACACCAAGGCAAAGATATGGACTAGACCAGGGTGTTCTAGAGAATAAAGTCTGTGGCTGAGACCAGGAACCAATGTGGGGTGCAGGCAGGCTTTCCCCTCCCACACAAGATCTATCCTTTGATAACCAGGTATGGAATCCCCTAAACCCTCGGCACGGTGACAGCTCCTGAGGACAGTGGAAAAAATTGATGAGCACAACTACCTCACCACCCAAAGAATGAGTGACAGCTTATTTTGTGAACTGTTTTTAGGCTTTGTTTTGTGGCACCTACACACACCAGTTGCATGGCACCACGCCCCCTCCTTCAAAATGTCAGTCTTCAACTCCCAACAATAACCACTGAGGGGGGAAATAGTGTGTGCTGGCCAGGGTAACTCCTGTGCACTGGGGACTGCACTGCTCTGGCCTTTCTCCTCAACTCAGCTTGCACCCACCTTGTTCTCAGTTTCCTCCTGGTGGTATATCCTTTGGTAGACAGTGGGCAAATACTAAATTTTACCTCTGTGGTTTCCAGGTGACTCTCTCAGGGAAAGTTTACTGGAGCTTTAATCTTCCTGAAATGGCAGCAAGACTGAATAACCACTTCCTCTCAGCACAGCTGGGGAACTTGAAACGTGCAGTTGTTGCAAAAGGGTGTGAGGACACTGTCCCTTCTGCCTTTGCTGTACTCTCCTGCGTGCACCAGTGTCACTTGTTACACACACTGGGCAATGACAAGTTGGGAAACACTTGAGCAGTGAAAGCCACTCTGACAGCCTGGAAAGGCAGGCCAGTGCTACCTTTTACTCTTCCCTGCAGTCAGCTTGTGCCTTTGCACCCCCAGCAGCTGCCAACAACCTTCACCAGACAGTCACCATAATCTATACTTGAACCTCTTCCACAGTCTGGGCAACTGAACAATTTTGAGCCAAGTCCCAAAAAAATGCCTGCACTATAGGTACCTTCAAATATTTCTGTTTTGCTGCAATAATGCAAAAACAAGTAGGAAGAACAGACAATAACTTGTAACAGGCATTCACAAAACTGATCTCTTAGGTTGCTTCTGTAATCACAGGGACACATAAATGTTCCCAGCATCCACAGAAAAGGACCCCAATGTCTATAATGAGAAGTTGGGCTTGTGTAACTCTTCAGCAGTTCTTCAGCCGCCCTCTACAAGCTGGGGTTCATGTTCTGAAAAGTGTTAATATTAAAATGGCTCATGTTTGACTGACTTTCAAAGTTCCAGTCTCCTCTATGCAACTCTCTACTTAAGGAAGGCAGAGAGCTGTCACTTGTTTAAGTTCTCTTTGTTGCTTCTTAAGTGACAACCTCAAAGTGTTTATAGAGATGGTGCTAACACAAACCAGAACAAGCTTTGTCCAAAGACTGCAACTGTTTTGACATCATTCCAATGAGACAACCCTGTAATTTATTGGAAGAAGCCCTGAGCTGGATACACTAAAAATCTCAGCCTCAGGTCACCTGCACAAACACTTTATATTGTCACAAGCTACAAACTCCACTGAGACTCTTTTTCCGTAGTTTACTACATTACTGAACTGTTTATCTTCCCCTGCTTCTATACCCAAGTTCTCTAAGCCAGCTTTTGCCAGGACCAGCAAGTTCCCTCCACTTGCATTTTTTTGGAAGCCACAGATCTGAAGTACCCAGGCTGAAGAGGCTTCTCTGGGGCTTGATGCACTGGTGCAGTTTAAGGCTGTGCCCACATTCAGAGATAGCATACTTAAATAATTACAGTGATCATGCAACTTTTTAAGTGCACTATATAAATAACAAAACACAACGCCCCACCACTTTTGAAAGCTATTTTGCCTAAAAATCCCAGCTATAGAACAGAGCAAGCCTCCAGCACACCCAGCCCCATCCTATCACTTCCTGTCCACTAACATGATGTGGTTCAAAACATGTCTTACTCAATGTATTTCAACACATCATTAACACCTATTTCCAAGCAGGCATGGTTTGAACAGTGAAAGTTCAGGTGCAAAGGAGTTTAGGGAGCACCTGTGGTGGCAACACCACCCACAAGCTGTTGAGGGCTCCAATGCACCCAACCAGTACAACCTGTAGCTACACAGCTGTTCACCCTGGTGCAATCCCTCCAGTTCCTGATGCAATGGCTCATGAGTCAAGATGAGTCTCATCTACACAAGAGGCTGGCAGTCAAAGCAAGCAACAAATTCAGACTTCAGGGTAAGCAGATCCTTCACATTCAAAAGCAAGAATCTCTTCCAAGTAACATGTGTGGACCACAGGTTTGGAAAATACCACTTTGTGTGTCCTGGACTTTGGGATTTCCACTCCAGCTCTGCAAGTGAGAGGTCAAAGATGGAAAAGGATAATATAAACACAATAAAAGGCTATAAAAGCTTATGGATTTGGAAGCCAATACTGACCATAAAGGAAGGGACTTTTAGGAAATAAACCACAGAATATCTTTTAAGCATCCATTAAATCAATAATGGAAAATTCTGCCTGTATGCAAGAGAACTTCAGAGAAAAAGACAAGGGCATGGAGCCAGCACCTAAAGGAAACACAGAAAGAAACTTACTGGAACTTCTGAACAAAGACAACAGGTCTAGGCATGAATTACTTGCCTAAGCCAAATTTATGACTGTCAGAGTCAATGGAAAGTTTTCAAAATCCACAGAATAGCTGAGCTTGGGAAGAGGAAGGTTTGAAGATCACGTAGTTCTACATCCCCTACTCAAAGCAGGGTCAGCTAGAGCAGGTTGCCTGGGGCTGTGGCCAGTTCAGGTTTTGACCATCTCAAGGATGAAGAATCCACAATGTCTCTATGCAATTGACTCCTAGTTCAATCACCCTCACAGTAAAAAAGGTTTCCCTTATGTTTAAATGGAATTTGGCATTTCAACTTGTGCCCCCTTGCTCTCTTGTTTTGTCACTGGATACCACTGAGAAAAGTCTGGATCCATTTTCCATCCTGTCCCCACACCAGGTATTTATATGCATTTGGAAGATCCCCCTGAGTCTTCTCTTCTACAGGTTGGGCAGTCCCAGCTCTCACCTCTCCTTGTTTGACGGATGCTCCAAGGCCTGAAGTACCCTGGTGGTCCTTGCCTGGACTCTGTCTCACACTGGGGAGTCCAGAACCAGATGGGCCTGAGCAGAGGGGAAGGA